CCTACTTCCGTAGTGATACTGCCTCGGAAACCCAAGGAGGGGTCGCTATGAGTCAGGGCTGACTCGACGGCACATAACAACAACAACAACAACAGGGCCTGGAGTGGCAGGCTGAGGAGTTGTTCTTTCGGAGGACACTAGGAGCCATGGAGGGTTGTGAGCAGAAGGGGGATTATTAAGGTTTTAAAAGTTTCCCAGAGGAAGAACAGAATTGGAAGGGGGTAATGAGGACAGTGAGGCCCAGGACGATTGAGACTTTGTTGGCGGTCACACAGCTGGTAACCATTTCAGAGGTGAAAGAGCTAGCCTGAGGTTGCTTGGCTGTAGGACCCGGCCAGAGGGCAGGAGAGGCCTATGCCTATACCAGGACAAGACTGCGGTGGTCTAGTTCTCTATGGCTGCCTCTTCCCCCAGCTGCCCGTGGACCAAGAAGTGCTTATGGAACCTAGACAAGAACTGGAAGGTATCTCAGAGCCCCACCCGTATGGTCTCTGGGATTGTAGTGATCTGGGACTCTTCACCTGCCATTCTCCCAGCTTTTGGGTCTGGGGAAACCCCAAGCCCAGAATTCTGAATCGAAGCCAAGAGTTATATGGAAGGGTTCACACTTCTGGCAACCAATGGAAAGAGGTAGAAGTACGGAAAGTTATTCTGGGACCAAGTACCAGCATGTGCAAATGCTTAGAGGAGAAGCTGAGCTGGGACCAGGGGACAGCAGGTTTTCTCCTGTTAGGAACAAAGGGGGAGAGGCAAGAGTCAGAGCTTCAAGGTGGCTGCCTAGGAAGTTCGGCTTCTTTTGTGGAATTTATGGGGGGTTTGGATCAGAGAAAGGAGATGATGTGACCCAGCTGTTAACAGGCTCCATGTGACTGCAGAATGGAGAATAGATTCTGGGGTGAGAGAAGAGGCAGGAAGACCAGGGAAGAGGCTAATGTAATAGTGCAGGTGAGTATTGAGGGACCAGAATGGTGGCTATGGAGGTGGAAGATGTGGTTAGATTCTGGATCCAGTTGTTAAGAATGGCAATGGGATTTTGTGACATGGTGGGTGAGACAGAGAAAAGGAAGACATGGGGATGACCCCCAGGGTTTTTGGTCCTAGTAGCTGAAGGGATAGAGTTCCATCAGCTGAGATAAGAAGTCAGTAATAGAGTTATTTTCATTGGGGATCTCAGGACCTTTGTTTTGGCCAAAAGTTTCTGAGTGTGTCAGAAACCACTGGGTGGGAGCACCAGCTGGGCAGGTACACACAGGTCTGGAAATGTGGAGAGAGGTATAGGACTGAGACCTCCAAAAGTAGTGGCTAACAGCCAGCTACCCAGAGGGAGCAAGTACTTGGACCTGTGGGCTCGGGACCATGGTCGCAGGGGACATCAAGCTCAATTGGCATAACATACTACACAAAAACATTGTTCCACACCCTACTTTGGCAAGTAGTGACTGAGATGTTAAAAGTTTGCAAGCAGCCATCTAGATGCAACAATGGGTCTCTCCTTGTCCAGAGCAAAGAAGAATGAAAAAAACCAAAGACACATGGAAACAATTAATCCAAGGGACTGGTACACCATGCAAACCTCAGTCTATAAAACTATGAGACTAAAAGAACTAGGTGGTGCTCAGCTACCACTGTCAACCACTCGGAGGGGGATCTATGTAGTAGATGCTGGATAGAATGGGAAACAATGTGGAACAAAACTCAAAATCATTAAAAAAAAAAAAAAAAAGGTGTGGGGGGGGGACCAGGTTTGCTGGTCTGATACAGTCTGGTGAAACCCCTAAGACTATGGCCCATAGCTGCCCTTCAGGTCTGAAATTGAATCCACTCCTGTGGCTTCCAGCCAAACAAAAGACAGGCATGTGAGCTGAACATTTACATTAGGTAGATACACTCCTTGGAGAGATCAATCATGGGAGAATAGAAGAGCTGTATATGCACAAGGGGGAGCTCTGGTAGCATAGTGGCTAAGACACTTGCCTGCTAACCAGACGGCTGGCGGTTCAAATCCACCAACCACTCCTCGGAAGGAAGGTTGGGCAATCCTACTTCCGTAGTGATACTGCCTCGGAAACCCAAGAAGGGGTCGCTATGAGTCGGGGCCGACTCGATGGCACATAACAACAACAACAACAACAACAATATGCACAAGGAGACAGCTCAGGGGGCAGGAGTGCATGGGAGGGAAGGACATAGGAAACAGGTGGGTATGGGGAGGAAGAGGGAGGAAAACTGTTACATTGTGGGAAATTTCAGTCAATGTGATGAGACAAAGTATATGTGAACTACTGTATGGAAGATGAACTTGCTCTGCAAACTTTCACCCAAATCACAACTAAAAAAAAAAAAAAAAAAAAGGTAGTCTAGTGTGTGAACCATGGAGGAGCTGTGGGTTACATTTAGGACAGGGACTTAAGGTCATGGTGATAATACTATGGGCCAGGAAGAAGAGGGTGGATGTCAAGGGCTGGGTCTCTTGCTTGGGCACCTGGCTGTGGATAGTGGGTGCCACAAACACAGGTGAGAAAGAGAAGTGGCCAGGAGGGAGTGTGTGGGAAGGGTGGTCTGGCAGATGGATGAGGCTTCTAAGGAAAGAATAGACATGAGATGAACACAGAGGCACAGGAGTACAGTAGGCCTCCGTATCCTCAGATTTCACATTCATGGATTCAACCAACCACAGAAGGAAAATATTAGGGAGGGAGAAAGCAATGAGTGGTCAAAGCCGTCCCCCAAAGGCTAAGAGGGAGTGCAAAGTGCCATTTACACAACATTGATGTTGTATTAGATATTGTATATAAATATGCATTTTAATATTGTAAGTGATCTAGAGGTGATTTAACTATACAGGTATACTGCAGGTGGTGCCCAGAGCTAGATGTTTATCTACCCACTTGCCTGATGTTCCTAAGGGCTGTATATACAGTGGTTAATAGGAATATGAGGAAGGAGCAACACTGTGGGCACCAGGGCTGGTATCTCCTCTGAGTTGGGACATTGGGAGGATTCTGGACAGGGGGTAGATGTAGATGGGGCTGGATTTTGGGTACTTAGAGAGAGGCTATTCATGGTTTGTCCTCATCCTGTAGGGCCATGTGACCTTTGAAGATGTGGCCATGTACTTCTCCCAGGAGGAGTGGGGGCTCCTTGATGAAGCTCAGAGACTTCTGTACCACAATGTGATGCTGGACAACTTTGGACTTACATCCTCGCTCGGTAAGGCTTTCCCTTTTCCCCAGGGACTTCTCTATCCTTCTCATCTCTGGACCATAGGCACTGCTCTCTTCTACCTTACCTTAAAGAGGATGCTGTCGCTGCCATGACTACATAGTTTTCACAGGCCTCTCATTTCCCCAGCTGCCCCAACACCTACTACCCTAAAGCTCACAGGGAAGGACTTGAAGTCAGGGTTCTTGCAGTCAGCCTAATGGATCCTACCAAGCTTACCCTCTCCCTGGCAGGATGACTTTGTTGTCTACATCCTTGGCACCTCTGTGTCCCAGATTCTGCTTCCTTTTAGCTGATATTTCTTCCTGCTGGCCCATGATAAGAATTGCAGTCACCAACATGGTTACTACTTATGTGGGCCATGGTTGTTCTTGTGAGGTAATCCTTCAAGGGCCAGTGCTGGCCACTTCCCTGTACTGTCTTTCCTTTATTCAGGTCCCATGTAGTTGCTCATTTAGGGCTGAGGAAAGAACTCTGGGCCTGGATCTCCTGAGTAGTAGCTAGAGGTGGATATGACATTGGGGCACTGTGTTCAAAGCATACCAAGAACCTGTCCTGTGGCCATACCTCATTTCTACCTTTTCTTCCCTATTCTTGACACTTTGCCACTTGTCATTTCTACTCTGACTTCTAGCACCTGGTTACTCCAGCTTTCTTGCCTCCACCCCTCACCTGTTCCTCTCCACTCCTCCCTCTGCAGTCTTATTCAACATTGGCCAATACATAGTGGGTCACGAGGTGGCATATATCCTTAAACAGTTCTTGAACACCAGTTTCTCATTGCAGTTGGATATTCCTGCACCTAGACCCAAACTTTTCCACAGTGTTCAAATGTCACTAGAGGCCAACGCCCTGATGAAAGCCACTGGTAGAGGCATGTTGGAGAGGTTCTGCTGCATCCCATCCTTGCATTCTCCATCTTAGGAAACCTCCCTAATTCCACGATCTGTAGAGTCCCAGATCTGCAAAGCAACCCATTCCTCAACCTGAACCCAACTCTCTTCTGAGAACAATCCCATGCACTCATTTCTTGGTATGTCTGACACACACTTGTAGTGGGGCTGCACCTGCCCCCAGAGACAACAGGCACTTCACCAAAATTTCTACTTTCAGGTTGTTGGTGTGGAGCGGAGAATGCAAGGGCATCTTCTGAGCGGAGTGTTTCTGTGGGAATAGTGTCACAGTCTGGGACTTCAAAGTCAGATGCATCAGCCCAGAAGGTTCATGTCTGTGAGATGTGTGTCCCTGTCATGAAAGACATTTTGTACCTGGCCAAACCCCCAGGAACACATCCTAGGAAGAAGTCGTACACATGTTGGGCATGTGGGAAACAATTCTGGTTGAACACAGACCTTCACCACCACCACCAGAAGGAACACACTGGAGAGAAACCATTTAGGAAGGACATGGACAGGGCCTACTTTGTGAATAGCTGTACATTCCATGCATCAGAGAAGCCCTTCACCTGTGGGAAGATTGGGAAGTGTTTCCCAACCAACATGAGCCTACTTCAGCTCCATTCATGGACTCCTAACAGGGCAAAACCACACAGTACTGAGTGTGGTGAGGCCTTTCACAATGGAAAAACTCGTTACAAGTGTGGCGAATGTGGGAAAAGCTTTAGCCGCAAACGCACGCTTGTTCAGCACCAGAGAGTCCACACTGGAGAAGGGCTTTATCAGTGCAGTGAATGTGGGAAAGCCTTCAGCTACAAACATACACTTGTTCAGCACCAGAGGATTCACACTGGAGAAAGACCTTATGACTGCAGTGAATGTGGGAAAGCCTTCAGGTTGAAATACAAACTTGTTCAGCACCAGCGAATTCACACTGGAGAAAGACCTTATGAATGCTGTGAATGTAGGAAGGCTTTTGGGTGCAAATCCAAACTTGTTCAGCACCAGAGAATTCACACTGGAGTAAGGCCTTATGAGTGTGGCGACTGTGGGAAATGCTTTAGACAAAGTTCAAGCCTCGTTCAACACCGGAGAATTCACACTGGTGCAAGGCCTTATGAATGTAGTGAATGTGGGAAGTGCTTTAGCCAGAGTTCCATCCTCATTCAACACCAGAGAATCCACACTGGAGCAAGGCCTTATGAGTGTAATGAATGTGGGAAATGCTTTAGACAAAGCTCCAGCCTCATTCAGCACCAGAGGGTTCACACTGGAGCAAGGCCTTATGCGTGCAGTGAGTGTGGGAAATCCTTTAGCCAAAGCTCTAGCCTCATTCTACATCAGAGAATTCACACTGGAGAAAGGCCTTATGAATGCAGAGAATGTGGAAAATGCTTTAGCCAAAACTTTGTCCTTGTTCAACACCAGAAACTTCACACCAGGTAGAGGCCTCATGAGATGGATGAGTGTAGCCAGTGTAAGAAAGCTTTCAGTTAATGGTCTGTTCTGCTTCAGCATTGAAAACTTCACAGCCTAGGAAGGCTTTGTGAGTGTAGTGAATGTAAAAAAAACCTTTCAGTTAGGGTCTAACCTTGTTTACCACCAAAAATTCTACAGGAGAATGGCCTTAGACCTGCAGGAAATGTGCTTTCTCTTTGTCCAATATAACAGCAATAGAGAGACTTTGTGAAGGAGCCATCTGCTGGAATTTTAACTATGTCCACCCAGTCATACATAGTGAGGAGATTCCCTGTGAGTTCCAGAGATGCAAGAAGTTTTCAGAAGTTGTACTGCATATTCTGACCTGCCCAGGACATAAGTACCAGACTTATGTATGTCCCTGCCAGGTTCTGTGGCAGAAGTCATCTCACTTCTACCACCTGCCAGATCCCCACAGTGTTTATCAGTCATTCCAACATGCTCAAGAAGACACAGTTCTGCACTTGCCCATTCCTAGGAGAAAATCATGAATGGTCTGAGCCCTCGGCGGTGGAGATGTCTCAGTCCCTTCCTTCTGACTAGTCACAGCCGAGAACTGACCTTTGGCCAAAAGGATTGCTAGTTGCTTTAAAGGTTTACCTTAATGGCATTTTTATCTCAAATGATGCTTGTAATGGGTTTTGCACCCTTCTAGTTATTGACCAGGCAACTGTGTTTTACATTGCTTGAGTTTATGCAATAATAAGGGTATTTATTGTTTAAACTGCCTTTAATCTTGAGAGTTCTACTCACTGTGTGGAGTGGATTGAAAACAGAATTGGGCTGTGCCAGTACAAAGGGATGACCAGCTTTTTTGGGGACCCCCAAACTTGTGTACCTCAGAGGGGAGAGTAGGATGACATAGAGTGCCTCTCACTACAGATTTGGCCTAGTTTACAACCCTGTTTGAGGCCTACTAGGAAAGAGTACAGGGGTGGGTGTGTCTCATCTTTTTAAATCTATGTTGTTAGGTGCTATCAGGTCCACTCCAACTCATTACAACCCTGTGTACAACAGAACAAAACACCACCTGGTCCTGTGCTGTCCTCAGAATCCTTGCTACACTGGAGCCCATCATTGCAGCCATTGTCAATCAATCTCACTGTGGTCTTCCCCTTTTTCACTGACTCTCTACTTTACCAAGCATGATATCCTCCAAGGAATGGTCCCTTCTGGCAATATGGCCGAAGTACATGAGATGAAGCCTGTCCATTCTCACTTCTAAAGACCATTCTGGCTGCACTTCTTCCAGAACAGATTTGTTTGTTCTTCTGGCAGTCCATGGTATTTTCAGTATTCTTCACCAATACCACAATTCAAAGATTCCAACTTTTCTTCGGTCTTTCTTGTTCATTATCCAGCTTTCACATCTATATGAGGCTACTGGAAATAACAAGGCTTGGGTTAGACACACCTTAGTCTTCAAAATGACATCTTTGCTCCTTAACACTTTAAGAGGTGTTTTGCAGCAGATTTGCCCAGTGTAATACAACATTTGATATCTTGACTGCTGCTTCCACAGGAGTTGATTGTGGATCCAAGTAAAATGAAAGCCTTGACAACCTCAATCTTTTCTCCATTTATTGTGATGTTGCTTATTAGTCCAGTTGTGAGCATTTGGGGGGGTTTTTGTTTGTTTGTTTATGTTAGGGTGTAATCCATACTGAAGTCTTTGATCTTCATCAGTAAATGCTTCAAGTTATCTTCACTTTCCGTAAGCAAGGTTGTATCGTGTGCATGTCACAGGTTGTCAGTGAGTCTCCCTCCAATCACGATGCTGTGTTCTTCATATAGTCCAGCTTCTTGGGTTATTTGTTCAGCATACAGATTGAATAAGCATGATGAAAGGATACAAACAGAATGCACACCCTTCCTGATTTTAAACCATGCAGTATCCCCTTGTTCTGTTTAAACAACTGCCTCTTGGTCTATGTACAAGTTCCTCATAAGCACAAGTAAGTGTTCCCAAATTAATTTCTTAGGATCCACACAGTTAAATGCCTTTGCATAGGCAGTAAAACACAGGTAGATACGTTTCTGGTATTGCCACAGCCAAGATCCATCTGATATCAGCAATAATTCCACATCCTCTTCTGAATCCAGCTGGAATTTCTGGAATTTCCCTGTCAATATACTGCTGCAACCTTTTTTGAATTATCTTCAGCAATATTTTAATTGTGTGTAATAGTAATTAAATTTTTTTCATAATTTCCACATTCTTTTGGATCATCTTTCTTTGGTATGGACACAAATGTCCATATCTTCCAGTCAGTTGGCCAGGTGGCTATCTTCCAAATTTCTTGCCATAAATGAGTAAGCACCTCCAGTGCTCCATCTGTGTGCTGTACCATCTCAATGGGTAGTCTATCAATTCCTGGAGCCTTGTTTTTTGCCAATTCCTTCAGCACATCTTGGACTTCTTCCTTCAATACCATTGGTTCTTGATCATATGCTACCTTCTGAAATGGTTAAATGTTGACAGATTCTATTTAGTACAGTGGCTGTATTTCTTCCATCTTCTTTTGATGCTTCCTGCATCATTCAGTATTTTGCCCATAGAGTCCTTCAGTGTTGCAATTTGAGGCTTACGTTTTTTCTTCAGTTCTTTTAGCTTCAGAAATGTTGAGTGTGTTCTTCCCTTTTGGTTTTCTAACTCTGGGTTTTTGCATATTTCATTACAATACTTTACTTTTGTCTTCTTGAGCCACCCTTTGAAATCTTCTGTTCAGCTCTTTTATTTCATCATTTCTTCCACTAGCCTTAGCTATTCTCCTTTCATACCAAGTTTCAAAGTCTCTTCTGACATCCAGTTTGGTCTTTTCTTCCTTTCCTGTCTTTTTAATGACCTTTTGCTTTCTTGTATGATGTCCTTGATGTCATCCCACAACTCATCTGGCCTTTTATCATTGGTGTTCAATGCGTCAAATCTGTTCTTCTGATGGTCTTTCATTAAGGTGGCATATAATCAGTGTTGTATTTTGGCTCTCATGGACTTGTTACAATTTTTTTTTAGCTTCAACTTGAACTTTCATACAAGCAAGTGATGGTCTGTTCCTCAGTCAGGTCCTGGCCTTTTTTTAAGACAGATGATATTGAGCTTTTCCATCCCCCCTTTCCACAGATGTAATATGTTTGATTCCTGAATATTCCATTTGGTGAAGTCCATGTGTATAGTTGCCGTTTATGTTGTTGAAAAAAGATATTTGTAATAAATAAGTCATTGCGATCTTCAGCATCATTACTATCACCAAGGCCATATTTTCCAACTACTGATGATTCTTTGTTTCCAGCTGTCACATTCCAGTCACCAGTAATTATCACTGTCTTGATTGCATGTTTGGTCAATTTCAGTTAGCAGAAGTTGGTAAAAATCTTCAATTTCTTCATCTTTGGCTTTAGTGGTTAGTGTGTAAATTTGAATAATAGTATTAAATGGTCTTCCTTGTAGGCATATGGATATTGTCCTATCACTGACGGCATTGTACTTTAGGATAGATCTTGAAACATTCTTTCTGAGAGTGAATGTGACGCCATTCCTCTTCAAATTGTCATTCCCAGCATAGTAGACTATATGATTGTCTGATTCAAGATGGCCAGTACCCATCCATTTCAGGTCACTAACACTGATACCAATCTTTATGCATTCCATTTCACTTTTGGGACTTCCAGTTTTCCTAGATTCATACTTTGTACATTCCATATTGATTATCAGTGAACGTTTGCAGCTGTTTCTTCCTATTTTGAATCGTGCCCTATCAGCAAATGAAAGCCCCAAAAGCTTTATTCTATCCATGTCATTAAGGTCTACTCTACTTTGAGGAGGCAGCTCTTTCCCAGTAGTATTTTGAGTGCCTTCCAACCTGAGGGCCTCATCTTCTGGCACCATCTGAGACAGTGTTTCACTGCTATTCATAAAGCTTTCCAGTACTGTATCAGTGTTTAACTCCTATTCATAAGGTTCCAGTGGCCAGTTTTTATGTTTACATTTAATTGGTGGTTGTATGTTGGAGTGATTGACCCAAGATTTTTGTTTTCTTTGTTTTGTTTGGATGTATCTGAGTAAGCAGGGTATTTTGCTCCTCTGTTTGCTAGTTGGCAGCATTTATGCACTCACCACCTGTCTCCTTTCCAGTCATCAGTCTCCTGAATGTCTGCTGTCTTTGGCAAGCAGAGCCTATTTTTGGGTCCCTGGAATTTGAATGAGAATGCTGTCACTTTAAGTATCCCAAATGGCCACCAGTTGCATAGTGCCTAAGGCATTTGACTGCTAGCCAGAAGGTTGATGGTTCAAACCCACCAGCCACTCCTTGGCAGGAAGATTGGACAATATACTTCTGTAGAGATACTGCCTCAGAAACCCTAGGAGGGGTCACTGAGTTGGGATTGACTTAACAGCAGTGAGTTGGGTTTTTTTTGGTTTGTAAACATTCAAAATGGCTGTGCCCAGCCACCACTTCTAAACCTTCAAAATGGCTGTGCCCTCTGGATAGCGGAAAGTCCACAGCTCAGTTTGTCTCCTTCTTTGCTGTTTTCCTTTTCAGTCATCAGCTACCTGTGCAGTAGTCCATGCAGCCCTTGATGAGCAGGGCTGATTTTTAGGTTAATTCTCAGGTCCTAACACCACTTGGAAATACTCAGGCTGTCCGTGCCATCAGAACAGCTAACAGTCCACAGTTCCATTTGTCTTCTCACTGTTTTCATTCAGGTTCTTCTAGTAGTCAGTATTTAATCCAGTTTTGTATCCTTCCTTTCAAAGCTCAGGGCTCCATGATTATCTTCTGTATCTGTGTCAATTGGTTTATCTTTTTTGTTGATGAGGGTCTGTGTAGCTTGTCTGCCTATTCTGCCATCTTATCAGACGTCTCCAGTGGCCAATTTTTGTAGAAGTAGATGACCCCATCCCTCTTCCCAGTCTGTCTTAGTCTGGGAGTGCCACTGAAACCTGTCCATCATGGGTGACCCT